TATATATATGCTTAGAAACACAGAAACTTAGTAAGTATGCCAAACAAGTTCAGACACAAAGCATAGGAAAACACGTGGTTAACTTTCTTTCAGAAATTGTCGTAATTTCAGATGCGTGGTCCTACACACCCCACCCCAAGTCTGATTCATTTGGCTACCCAGGGTCCGCATCAATGCCTTACGTGTTCCTACGTGTCCCCTGAAACAGCATAAAGAATAGGGCAGTTTGGATTATCCATCATTTCACTAATAATGAAGCCAGATGTGATCTGGTCATGCCTCTACAGCTCATCTTCTCCATAGCACAAATCTTCACCCCATCAGCTGCATCAGTAACACTGCCTAAGCTCATCTGAAGTGAAAATATCCTTATCTCTTTTTTTCAGCGTTACTTGGAGCAAAGACCAGTTCCCTGCCTAAGCTGTCTTTATTGCCGAGAAAAATGTCCAAAGAATCATCACCTTAGTGATAGTCCCACGAGAGTGGGAAAGGATCATGGATCATAAATCAGATACGCTAACTACCTTGAAGAACTCCAGCTGCTAGAAATTAATACCGCTTGTTCCAAGTGACCTGGAGTTCCTTGAATCGTTACTGAAAGTCCTAACTACACTTAAAGATTTTAGTATCACATGCAGTAAAAAACAGTACTGGAAAAATACAAACAAGTACACTGTTTTGTCAAGATGGAAAATGGCAGACACATTAGGTTTTTGAAGACTGGGATGAGCAAGTGGGAAGAGATTCCCAAATTCCTAAATATTCTTACACTGCTCCTCAGGAATCTAGGTTTTACGCCATGGAATAAATACGATTAGTGATCCTGACTAGGAAAATGAAAAAAATAGAGTGGCTGCTACAAGAGGCTCAATACGGACCCATGGAAGTTAACTTTCATTCTACTGATAGGACCAAAAGAAAGGGACCTAGACATAGTACCTTGGAGGAAAAGTGTACTCCTTTCAGCTCTTGACTGCAAAAATTTTACTGAACACCAGGAAAGGCCCTTTAGAGGAGGGGTTTCTGAAGGGCCGCGCACAAACCACTTAGTACCCAGCAAGTTTTTGTATTATGATTCCAAAGTGGATTTTTTGCTTGTTAACGACTACTAGGCATAAAAATACTATTTATTTGGTTTTGCAGCCCCCAGCTTGACATCCTATCCATTAAGTAGCTGTCAATGACCAAATCTTTAGGAAACCCTGTCTTACAGACAGGCCTCGGAAAACATCTGGGATTTCAGTCAGGTTCATTTTAAGATACAAAAATGTCTTCAGTGGAAACAGCTGCAAGTCTCTTACTTTGCATTTCCTTTGAAAGTGATTGATAAAGTGTTACAAATCTGTATTATGCCCTGAAAGTATGTTCTTCCTATTAAATGGATACCACTACCTTCCAAAGAAAAGAAATTTCATGATTTTGTCAACACAAACCATCAGATGGGAACAACGCTGTGAAGACAGAGTAAATACTTTTGTTTAGCTGACATTTTTGCTGAGAGAGCAGAATCACTAGGTAAATGTCTGCTAATAGTAAATAACTGATCAACCAGCTATGGTAGTTAACAACCACTCACAAAAAAGAGAAGGAGATTGCACCATCACGTTGTTACAGTTTCACCACTTATCAATAAGTGGTGAGAAGATACAGAGGTGTTTGGGATGCTCTACTCCCTCTCTCTAAATATATTTCAGATGCTGACAATCTGCTGATAAAAGTAAAACAACCTTCAGCCAACAAACAGTAACAATGAAATGCATATATGAAGAAGCAGTAGAAACTGTATGATGTGTTTTAAGATTTCTAAATAATAATGTAGATTCCTGGTTTTCTTACTTGTTAAGATAAATATACCAGTAATCAAAACTACATGCATGATGGTTAAATACTAAGTGTGTCAGTAAACTTTCATGTTAAAATTAGAAGTCAATCCATACCGGATGAATAAACAAAGAAATTTACCTCTCTTTTTCTAGCTCTTCTAAATAACCAGTGCTTTCTCTGCTTCCATTCATAAATCCTCTTCTTGGAAATGATCCCATAGGAACAGGACTGCACTCTCCCGAACGGCTTGAAACAGACCCTTCCCGGCTCCCATATGAACGCACGGACACTTTTGGCCTTAACTTCACTCCAGGGAAGTTGGTACTTTCCAAGTTCAGTTCTGGATAATAAAAAGCAAACATTTTCAGAGTTGAAGTTCAGCAGCACAAATTTGAAAGATCATTTCTATCTTAATTTCTTATTTCCTGAACAAATCCATGATTTTTTGATGGAAACATTTTGCATTGGAATCCACAGAAGAACATAATGCGAACAAAACCAATCTTAATGGTACACTTGGAGAATACCAGTAGTCTGAGCAGATAGCCAAACTGCAATCCTGACAATCAAAACAGTATCCCCAACATGAGCCTCTTTCCCAGAGGACTTAAGAAACGGGCAGAGTTTTGCATAAATGTCACATGAATTGTTCTTGTGGCCCACTTCCTAATAGCTTCTTTCTCAAGAGATCCTGCAGATGCTTCACTGTCATGTAAATGATGACAACTCTGTACACCACAGGGCCCTTAAACGTAGACATCCCCTCTGATATTTCTGGTTTAGTGGTAGGGATAATGGATGTATACAGGAGTCAGTGGTCTGGGCTTGCTTTGCACATCCCATATAATGGGATGGTGCACATTCCAGCAGATGCTCTAGGGAAGGGGACATCAATTTGCAGCATGACAGATACAATTCCAGTAATATGACAAGGAGAGGACAGGGCATGCAAACAAGTTTAGAACATTGGTGGAACTAATCCATCATTAATTTAAACAAATGTATTTTTTCTGAAGAACTGAATGAAATGCAAGTTGTGTCAAAAGCAATTAATATGACATCCTAGCGTAACAGTATCAAAAGCACAAAAGCAGCACAGGAACAAATTTTTTGAGAATGTGTCTTAAAATGCTTAGCAAATATAACAGGCACTGAGACTATGTCTAACCATGAAAGTCAGCAATGGAAAGAAGGTGCAGCTGAGTTCGAAAATTTTATTGCAAAGAACAAACAACCGGGAAACAAATGAACCTACTTAAAACATAATTCTAAATTTACCTTTAAGTCGTTCCAGTAAGTCAATTTGTCCAGAAGATGCCATTGCCTCATCTTCAATACTTCCTTGCAGCTGTTTCAGCACCTCCTGTAAGAAATTAAGCTTAATTAAGAAATCCTTACAATAATAAACCACAGGTAAATACATCTTATCCTGCCCTCAAGTGCACATTTATGTAACAGCTACTGAGACACTGATGTAAACTATATTTCATATGAGCAGTGACCAAGTGTCAGAACTTTAATTGCCATCAAATATACTCTGCAGTATTTCCCTAAGCACTGTCACGATGTAAAGTATAACCTGAATAACTCATCGTCTCTGGTAGTCCAATCTATCAGCTTATTTAAAAGTTCTTCTCAAAGTGAATACCAGTTATCTCAAATTTGCAGATGGAGAAATGGAAGCACAGAGAAATTAGTTAAACTTCTCCATCTGTGTACCTAAAGTTAGCCTTGTAAAAATAAAATTTGGATACATAACTGAAAGTTACAAAAGTAGCTTGAATACCACATTTTTTTAAACCTCAAAGATACCAGAGCAGAAGTAATCCCCAGGATTTATCTTCTGCAGGGCCTTAGCACCACTGTAAACCAGCAAGGAGAGTCATGTTATTCTTATTACTACTATTGCTACCACTACCACACCTGTGAGGAAAAGACTTAAGATTCCTTCATGGTGTTGTATTAGTTGGCTTATTACTACTATTACTACTACTACCACCACGCCTACAAGAAAGAGATTTAGGAGTCCTTCATGCAGCTGAAGCTTCAAAGCCAAGAATATTGCTGTGTGCTACTGAAACTACGTATGATAAGATTATACAGCTGAAGGAACATACTTTTAATGCACAAAAAGATTCATAGTAAACAATGACTACTACACTAAAAGGGGCCTGTAAGCCCTCGGGTCCCTAATGCTCAGTGGTCTAAATTCAGGTAGAAAATTAAATGCAAGTTAGTGAATGCCTTTTCTTTATCGTAATGGCAGATATATCAATACTAAAAATAAATTGAAAAGACTGGCCACAAGGCAAAATGCTCTTACAGGAATTTACAATATGATTTTTTGTACCGTGGCATAGAAAAAACCTTTAGAAGCGGCAATAGTCAGGAAATGAAAACAATTCTGAATAATGAAAGGTACTCCATACTTTTCATACATAGAGTCTACACCCAGAATTGTACTTTTACCCACACGTGAAAACTAATGAATTTTAGACAATTTAAAAAAAACTCCACATCACTGTTTTGTTCTTTTAAGAGCCTAGCATACCTTGCTGTCAACATTAATGGTTCTTGCAACTTGTACAGGAGGTATCTTTCAAACACATTTTGCTCTTTTCAAAGGAAACAAAACAGCATCTACAAGAAGTCAAGACATTCTTTAAACAGACACACTACTGAGCTTTTCTGTATTGAAAGTGTTGTTTCTTGTACAAAAGAAAAAAAAAAAAGTAAAAGGATTTTGAGTAAAGAACTGCACAGGGTTCTGGGGAATTAATCTCCAAGCACTAAACTCGGAGCAAAAAGTAGCAGCACAGTCACTGCAGCCACCCACTGTGTAATTAGATGCCAGTACTCTAGGAAGAGGAATTCTGGAGTACAGACACTAATTACATTTACACTGTTTTCTGGAAATAATTCTGCAGGTGGAATTGAGGCCAAATTTCATGTTGCCTGAATGATGGAGTCAAGGTATGTGTCTGCATTCGCATTTTAGTTTGGATCAGTCTGACGCCAGACTCACATCTGCCCCACCAGCTGTACTTCGGTTCACATCGTAGGGTGACCTCGGAGCGTGAATCAAATTCCTTTCCAATCAAACCAAGCCAGCAGTTACACTCAAGACTGCTAATGGGCATTCACTCCACTGGACCAGGCTGGAGCTAGTCTAAAAACAAAATCCTCTGAAACATATATATTATGCACGCTGGGTCCTCAACGTAATCATGTACAGATCTGGTCTTACTGCACTACCTGTTGATGCTGGCATAGCCTTTAGGATCAAGTCTGGTGCGGTAAAATCACTACTCGCAGAAAGACATCTCCACTGTGCTTGTGCTTTTAAGTATATTCAAGGGCATCATGATTAGCCATATGGCCCAGCCACCTCTGTACATAACATCTGCCTTGTCAGCTAAGTCAGACAAACAAGTAATCCAGTGTTTTTCAAAGAAGGACTCCTACATTATCAGACGTAAGGGCAGATAACATTTGCAGACAGCAGTCTTAGCTTAAAAGCCTAAAAGGGCAATGTGGAGCGGTCTTGGGAGTTTTGCAGGCTTCTGAAAGACCTGTCAACTCAGATAAATTTAGAAATAAATAATGAATCCCTTTCCTCTGAGAACAGCACCTTAGTGAAGGAAAAAAACTCAACCCAAACTTCCAACCCTCCTCCCACTCCCCTCTTAGAAGCCTCCTCCCCTTCCCTTCTCTCTGCATGGCAGTTCTGCTATTTCAGAAATTGTATGTTCAGGGTACTTTCCTACATAATGAGTCTTCCTGCTTCAGTATGAACAGCTAAGCGGAAATACTATCACCTTTTCCTGTGCTACCAAGTTACATCACTGAAGTGTCCAGGCAGCTAGAGACTGCTCTTTCTGAATATTGGCAACAGTTGAACATTAGCATACTGGATCACCTTTCTCAATTTTCTCTGCTACAATTCATTAATTTAGGTTGTAACTTTCAGATTTACATTATCCTCTTTTCTTCAACAGCACATGCATTTTTTTCAAGTTGGTAAGTAAAGCGTTCTTTTCTGTATTTTTCTACGTTTCTTTTCTATAGTACTATTGCTAAGGTAACAATGACATTTGAGGCTATGACATCAATTTCAAACTCAGTCACGGTACACTTTGAGATCTAAACTAATGAAGCAGACAAAGGTTAGAGAGGGAGATGCAGCCTCTGCGCCAGGTACTGGTGGAAAATGAGGCAGTGTGCTAAAATGACAAATTGGGGAATTTACAATTTTACTTTAATAAAGGAACAGAGAAGTTTTCTGCAATAACCCATTTGGAAGAAACACGGCAAGTTATCTATTACTGTGATAATGCAAATTTTTATTTATTCACTTATTGCAATTCCAGGACTCAACACTAATGCTGTTTACATGCGGTTCTCCATTTTTCCGCCAAGATTAATACAATGCTTTGAAATAGTACTTTTCCACAATAATTTTATATTACTTTTTATCTAATGTCTGCTAAATAGTGTAAAATCTCCACAAATAAATCCAAATCAATGTAACTAAAGTTAAATTAATATTCTGTTTAGTTATGCAAGTTTGAATAAATATATTAGTAGTGGCTTATAGCATTATTCTAAGCAAATTCTTTACTGACTTACTAGTAACTTACTGATAAAACACACAAAAGTAAGTGTATCTATAAGGAAGGCTGCAAAACTTTTCTTCTGTTATTTTAAAGAATGTAAGTCAAATTATTTTAATGGTCACTTAAACATAACCCAGTTTATCTTATCCTACTGGAGAAGTACAAAAGAATGCTTTCGGAAATGGAGCTGTCCCTATGACTCATCATCATGTAAAAAGGTTTCTGTCTTCAGTCTCTGGACTGTGAAGTACAGAAACAATGTCAATTTTTTTTTTGTTTGTTTGGACTCTATGAATGTAGTCTTGATCTTACAACTACTTTATGGATAATTAAATAAAAAAAGATCAGACCTGTCAGCCAGTAATTGGAAAACTACTGAGAAGAAAAGCATCTTAACTAACAGTACATGCACTCAGCTAAGTGCTACGGGTTGTAAATAAAATTGCTAAAGGGCTGTGAATTTACTCAAGCTGCTAATAAAGAATGGAACCACAGAGAAACAACACTAATAATGCCAGACTTCAACTCCCAATGCATTAAGATTTAAAAGTACATTCAATTTTTGAGGACTGTAAGTATAAATATTAATATTAATATTTAGAAATAGTTCAAAATATGGTACCTGTAAAAAGACATTCTGGTTTAGACATACACCTCTCCTCTGGCAGGAAAAGGAGCACTGATGACAATTCAGACAAATCAGATACGTTTGGTCTTCTGTAAACACTACTTGCTTCCACCCCCGCCTTTTAAATAGAATGAGCTTTATTACTTGTATTCACTTTTCTAAAAATTTTGTGTATTCAGCGAACGGCAAAATGTATGAAAATCATCATGATAATTAAATACATGAAATTGCTGGCAGCAGTATGCCAGATATACTCACAAGCCAGTACCACCTAGAATAGTAAGCCAACAAGATGTTTTGAAATTTCAAGGTAAGCATGAATCTACATTTAAAAAGACTTCCAACAAAAGCTATTCTATCAATGTCAATGAATTTTTAGTAAGACACTCTTCATACCTGTTCCTCCATTTTAGATAACAACTATACTTGGGCCTGTGTGAAGAGACATTCCTGTCATCTACATATACATACACACACATAGACTCCACTGTGTGTTTCTCTTGATGTTCGTAAACAAAACCCAAACTGAGTTATCCTTCAGTTTAGTTTTTTTAGGTTATGCTTACCTTGGTTACCACTATAGTTACAACATTTGAGTATAAAACCAGGTTTAACTGCACAAATATAGAAAGTGTTTACAATTTCAGACAGTAATTCAACATCTATATTAGCACCATATAGGATAGGAATGATGCACACTGAATAACTCAGAACTACGATTTTTAATCAAATCAGCAGTATTTTAAAATAAGAATATTCCTGACAGCATTTGTATTCGTGTTTTTAACCCAATATGCTGAAAACTTAACATACAATTGCACTCTAAACTGAAAGTGAGTTTTGAAGTTCAACCCAGTGTTGCACATTGTTTCAATTATTATTGCTTTAAAAGGTCAGAAAAAAAGGTTACATATATAAAAGCACATCCATCACTCCAATTCAACAAAAACATCAGATGTCAAAACAGTGGGGAGGGGGACGACAACACCAGAATATTATTTTCTATGCATTTATAGATAGCATAAACTTAAGTTCAAGGTCTTACATGACCCCTCATAACTACACGAACTTGACAGTGCCTTAATACGATCACACATGGTACGAAACTCTCAGGGGCCA